TTATTGCTCCATCACCTTGGTAAGTGAGTGCGCTACTTGTGGGACTGAGTTTGTTGTGGCTCCTCGGAATGACAAAGTCCTTTGGATGAAGGATGAAACGTTTCAACAAAGAAAAGAAACCGTCCAGATGACCTAGATATCCAAGATTATTGAAAAAAAAACTTGTAAACCAAACTGAGTCTGGAATAAAATTACATTTTAGAGCAAGCATCTTTAACTTCACCCAGCTCTTAGGTTGTCTGTTTGAGCGGGCATCAAGTCATGAAAGGATCATAATCACAACTATTAAAACGCCAGAGATAATTTTAGCAGAACACAAGATACAGACAGATGATAACTCACCGAATGAAACGATTCATTCAATGAGACGTTCAAAGACTTCCAAACAACTCACCATTCCCCCCGAGGTTGTTGTCTTAGCAGCGAGTCTCTGGAGCAAAGCTGCATTTTAAACTTTGATCTCAGTTTTTTCATTTTTTTTCTGTTACCCGCTCATGTTGTCTGTCACGTAAATGTGTCATCTCTTATAGAGACAAACGAAACCAAGCACAGCTGGTGGTCCGACATTGTTCTGCCATTACAGTCCCTGAGCTCTGCAGTGTTTGTCTGGTTCCTGGTTCCACTGCTGAAATGTGTGTCAGGAAAGCAGCTTCCACACGCTCCTTTTACAGAGCTGTCTGAGAGATTTGGAGCTGCGAAATAAATAGTTTCCAATTACAAAGCTCAGGGAAAAGAATGAGTTAACATTTGAAGATGTCATATACTTTTCCTATTATTGACTGAAACAGGTTTAGTGAAGCAAAACCCTGATCTGTGTTTTTAATTAATAGCTTTTCCTGCTCTTTCTTTGGGACGTTTTGCTCTTTGGTGTTTTTAACAAATTTCTTAAAGGAACTGATGAGATTTGTTGGGTTTTGTCCACAGATGTGACTGGAGAAATTTAAGGAAAATAGAGCTTTAGGTACACTTTTATGACTAGAAGATTAGGTTTTATGCACATTGTTTTGAAATTGTTTGCCTTGACTCGCAGTTCAATGAAAAATGTCTGAACAAACTTTAAAGAGGAGATTCAGTTTGGTGCTGCACGTAATAAATGCTTTTTTCTTTACACGGTTGCAGAAAAAAAAAAAATCTACAAATATGAACTTCAACTGAATCCAGTTTGATAGACTTTCTGTAACAAGTCCAACTTGATTTATTTAATGATTATTTATCAGTAAAATGCAACACTGTTTTTGCACAATCTGTTTTACTTTGACTCAGTGGAGCGACATATTCATCCAGATGTTATTTGTCACATTGCATAGTCCTGGCAGCAGAAACTTGCATTTTTGAGTCGTCTGTGTGTCTCTTTGGTCTGTGCTCTCTCTACATCAGCTTACATCTGTGGCCAGTTTCCTGCTGCTTTTCCCCACTGTGTCATCACTGGGTGCTGCATTTCCAACATTTTCTCACTGCTTCCATCACCAAATCATTGTTGAGCTGCACTGCACATTCATTCATTCATTCATTCCATGCAGTGGAGCTTAATAACCATCTGCCTATGTGAAGTAATTTTAGCCAAACCAGCTGCATTCCGGAGTCAAACACTGGTATGGAAACTTGTTTAAGTCATAAAAAGACAGTATTCTCTTTAACTTTATGTTGTGTCTACAGGTGCAACTAATCTTACTTTAATGCCAATGAACATTAGTGAGAAAATGCCATGATTTCTCAGCCTGTGTGCGTTTAAAGTGCATCAAGACTAACTGCAGTGGTTCCAAACCTTGTTCCTTGAGGAACACCACAATGCATGTTTTAGTAGTCTCCCTGCTCCAACACAACTGATTCAGTGATTTAATTACTTCCTTTCATCCTGTAGAAGCTTGTTAATCCCCCATTTATAAAAAATCAGGTGTGTTTTAGCAGGAAACAACTAAAATATGCAGGATGGTGTTCCTCAAGGACCAGTGTTGGGAACCCCTGCATTTTCCCCCTTTATTGTCTCATTTTGCATTCTTGTCCAGACTGAACTTCATACCTACCATATTTCTTTTTAAAATAACTTACCAGAGTTCAGCATCTGAGTGAACTTGATCAGCATGCTACAAAGAATAACATCCTCTTCTAATGCTCTGGTCAGTTTTACGGTCAACAGGTGGGAGTTCAGCTGAAAGTTCATTAACTGATTTAAGGTCAACACATCTGACAATGTGTGATTTTTCCATTTAGATCAAGGGTTAGCAGCAATGACTCACAGGAGTTATCTGAGCCACATGACAACCTGAGGCATTAAATTTATTCATGACTTTCAGTCTGACAGGGGAGTTTCATACAGAGGTGCTTTATGTCAGTGGTCCATTTCCTGTTGATAATAAATATTTTAGGTTATACTTACCTTGGCATTGTATGACCTTGTTGTTGATAATAAAAGAAGAGAATATCATCATCATGCCTCTGCTTTGCACGTGTAAAAGTAATACTAATAATCAGTTTTTCAGTTTTCTTTATCTCGAGTTTTCATTAAAAACTCTGGAATAAAATAAAATAAAATCTGAAATAAATCTGGAACTGCAACAGCAATTGTATTGTTCAGTAGTTATAATAAAGTAAACCAATTTTTGGTTAGACTTTTGAATTATATAACTTTAAAAAACAGTATTTGCTCTAATCTACTTGCAGATTTCAGTGAAAAGGAGAAAAAAAAAAACCTCATAATGCCTTATTCAGTTTTTCATGTGTCCTCTGAATCAATCCATCTCATCCACCGTTTCTGTCTCCTCTCCCATCAAGGTCCCAGGCTCACCAACAAACAGGTGTGAGGGACAGTTTGCACACCAGAACACCTGCCCTTTCATTTTTCTCTGGTCAGGAGAGCCATCCTGTCCTAAGCTCACCCCTCAAGTGGAATTAATTCAACCTTTCACCATTCAGAGCCATGAAACGCAGGATTAGAGGACAGTACAGCTGAGCACCAGTCCTCTTCAGCGAGAGTTCATGTACTGTTTACAGGCAGAAGAGCAGCTCTGCTACAAGAAGAACACCACAAAAGCTTTGCTTTATTCTTACTAAAATATTTAGGTAAATTAATTAATATAATCCATGATAAGAGGAAATGTCAAAAGTCCCCTCTTTTTAGGGCTTCACAAGTCTAGAAGTCAAAATGTTTGAAGGGCTGAGTGTCACGTTCCACAGTTGAATGATGGTTTTAACACTTTAAAAGACCAACTTACATTTCCTTTTATCATCCCCACAGCTGTAGTGGCTAGTGACTACTGGTGTACAAGAGTTGAACTGTTTCATACAAATTATTTAGTTTGTTACTAATTTCAAAATAATTTTTACATAAGCTTTTCACCACAAGTTCAAGTTATGTTTATTTGTCATATGCAGGTTAACGATGAAATGTTCGAGTTGAGAAGAACTGATTTCACTCGCTGAAAGCAAAGAACAACCAAGAAATACTAAAGCATGCAATAATAATAAAGTGCCAAAAAGTGAAAAAGAAAATACAATTTTTACAAGATCGTAAAGAGAGATAGTGAACATTACTACAACTGTGTCAATGTACAATGTATCAAAGCCAATGTATACTTGCCAGTCAAAGTATCAGGGTTTTAGTTTATGGTGTTTTTGATGGTTTATTTTACTCCAGCTAAAGTTTTTTTGCACAATGCTTTCGACTAGTTGGTCTGTTTGTGCACCTGGGGTCATTAAAAACTTGTAGGGACACTTTCCTCGGCTGCTTCCTGTTGTTGCAAGCGACCTCAGCAGGGAATCGCGATCTACTGATCGATCGCAAAGATATTATGGGTAGATCGCATGGCATTAAAAAATAGATGTCAGCCTATCATCCATCCTCACTATGAAATTTGTCACCTGATTGACATACAGGGCAGCCAGTCTGAGACTATATGTCATATGTCATATGTCATATGTCCGGCCGTTCATTTACATACAACAGCCCTCATTCACTCTGAAACCGAAGGTCTCAGAGTGGAGATTTTCAGGGGAAACCCCCCACCGAGGTTTTGGATATACCACATTTTATTTTTATTTATTTTTTTATCCATCTGGAGGACTTGACTTAACTTTGTTAGATTTTTCTACCTGGATTATTGTGCATGCATCAAGATACCCCGCACAGAGGTGTGAAATGCTCCGCAAGTGTGTATTTGCACATGTGCACTACAGGCGGCTGCAGTCCAAAGTCTTTCTGCACTAACAACAGTTATAATAAATGGCAGAGAGCAGACTGTTTTTGTGCCACTCACCCTTTTTCAGCTTGTAGGAGCAAAACTAATAAAATCCAGTTCCAAAGAGAGGTTAGTGTTCACCAGTTTAGTTGTAACTGTGATCATGCAGATGCTGCATGCACAATGAATGCATCTGAGCCCTGCATAAGGTTGCCAGATAAATTTAAAATATCTTTTTTACCCCCTCCTTTTCTGTGCACATGTTCAACAAGCACAACACACACCTCATCTTGGAATATCTTTACTCAGCACATATGACCGTTTAGGTCAAAATACCATCATTTTAAAGTGACAGTACTATAGTTCATAATTTCTTATCTGGCAACCCGACTGACATGGCAACTACATCGTTTTCGTGTAAACCTTCTCATTTTTTTGTTTATTACCCTCAATGAACATTGAAAGAAACAATAACGTTTCCAGAGGTTGTTCTCGTGTAAACGAAGCCTTAAAGTAGATCACTTTGACTCGGTCGTTTAAAAGTAGCTCCAAGCTGAAAAAGTGTGGACACTCCTCACACAAGGTGGGATGCTGTGTTTGTCCTTTGGACTCTATTGTGTTTAGTTGTCTTTTTGAGGTGAGACCAAAGCAAGCTGTTGGCCTGGTATAACAGTAACCTTCCTTTTTTAATTTCCTCTGCTGTCAGAAGAAGAGGCCGCTGTTTGTTGGATCTTTTGAGAGAAACTGACTTGAATGGACGCCGGGCTGCGTTGGCTCTCATGGTAATTATTTTTCTCTTCCTCTCTTTGTGTTGTCACTTTGCAGCTTTGCCATGTTCACTGGAGCGAGATCATGAGTTTAGCCAACAAGTCAGAACAGACCTCCTCTCCCTCCCTCACCCTCTCCTCCACTTTAGAGGAGGAGAACAATTTCTCAGCTTTGGTCACCCACGACCTTTTGTATTCCCCCGTGTCCCTCCCCACCTCCTCCTCCATGATGACCTCCTCCAACTGCACCAGCTCTCTGTTACCTTCCTCTCCTCCGTACAACTTCTACGCTGTGCTGTTAGTCCTGCTGATCTTCTGCGTGGTGTTCGGGAACGTCTTGGTGTGCGTGGCGGTGTCACGGGAGCGTGCTCTGCAGACCACCACCAACTATCTCATCGTCTCCCTGGCTGTGTCGGACCTGCTGCTGGCAACGCTCGTCATGCCCTGGGGCGTCTACCTCGAGGTGTGTGTTCATAGTTCTGATAGTTTTTTTGTCTATTTATTGTATTGTGAAACTGTTAATATTTTGTTTTCTTAAGCAGAAAACACCTTCAGATACAAAGAGATCTTTAAATGAACAATTCCCTTCAGTTAGTCCAAAATTCTGCTGGTAGAGTCTTAACTGGAGTTAGTAGAAGAGGTCATTTCTCTCCAGTTTTAGCTTCTCTCCATTGGCTCCCTGTCAAATCCATAATTAAATTCAAAATCTTACTTCTAACCTACAAAGCTCTCAATAGCCTAGCTCCATCTTATATTCAAGATCTTATTGTTCCGTATTTTCCTAAGAGAGCACTTCGCTTTCAGACTGCAGGTTTACTTGTGGTTCCTACAGTTTCCAAAAGCAGAGTGGGAGGAAGATCTTTCAGTTATCAGGCTCCTCTCTTGTAAAACCACCTTCCAATTTCTGTCTGTAAGGCTGACACATTGTCCAGTTTTAAGACTGGGCTTCTTAAGACTTTCCTTTTTTGATAAATCCTATAGTTAGGGTTGGTTTTGTATGCTGCTATGGGCTTAGACTACTAGAGGACAAATTTACATCATTTCCTTAAATGGATTGCTAAAATTGGATAGTTTTCATTTAATACTGTTTCTATTATAACATTTGATTCTTGACCTGCCATTGTGTATCTGTTCTACCAAACCCAGCCAGTCAAAGCAGATTACCGCTTGTCCTGAGTCTGGTTCTGCTAAAGATTTCTTCCTCGTGAGGGAGTTTTTCCTTTCCACTGTCGCCTTCATGTTTGCTCAAGATGAGAGTTCTGCTATGGAGTTAAATTCAAAGCAGTCTGCTCCTCAGATAAATATGTTAAATTATTATTTTTATATATGAAGGCCTATTGTAATTGTGTCGTTTCTTATTATTATTATTATTTTTTTTTTATTTTTTTTTTTCCGTCCAAGATCGCATTTTTGGAGGCCTTAACATATCCCAAAACTCACCATATTTTACCCAAAATTGTCCCCCGCGAGAAATGCGAGGTATTTAATGGAACCAAAAGTGGGCGTGGCCAAACTGCTCCACAGCGCCCCCTAACGTGA